GATTGTATCCTAATGTGTCATACGTGAACACTTGTGTTATTATTCCTGTTTAAATTCTGGTTGAGCCTAGCTATTTGAAACAGACACTGAGGTACTTTTTTTGGTGAGCATTATAAAGGCAGTCCCTACTTTCAGGTAGTCAAGAGTCTACAATTATGTCAAGATTTTGCCCCTTCGTTAAGCCAGCAAAAAGATGAAACGCAGCATAGGCAAAGCAGGCTCACAGACCACATATCCTCTCCCACCCAGATGTGTGGATGCCTCCTATGTTAATTCACTTTGTCAAAGTTAACCGGATGGTTCAAGCTTGCTGGACTCACAAGTTCAGCTTCTGAAATCTCTGCAGGCTCAGCTTTTCTACTGTGGGTAGGGTGAAGAGGACTCTCCACATACCTCAGGCAAACACTGGCTCACTCTTGTAACTTCCATCTGGTTACCTTTAACTGGGCTGAGACACATACACATACCCATCCTTAAAAAAGAGAAAAGTGAAACCCTTACAAGCCAAAACCCTACCTACGTTGTTGGAAAGGTCTTAAACAGGGTGACAGCACTGTTGTCAGCAATCTCTCACCCACTGCCCAGACTTGCTTCTGCATTACTGCTTGCATCCTCTGTCCTTTTCATCTCTGCCTCCCAACCTCTCCACCCACTCTTCCCTGGCTGTAGAGTCCTTAGAAAATTCCCTTCTTTACTATAGGTAAATGATGGGAAATGAGAAGAAGATCCGAAACAGGAGAGCTTCAACAGAGGCTTCAGAGTGGGAGGGGGCAAGGCACAGGTCATTGCACAAGTGTGATCTTGGATTTGGGATCCAGATGTACTTGCATGCAGGAGATGCAGCAGTATATTAAATTTCTTTATTGAATGCTGATTGATAATAATAGCTGGTTACTTATTTATTTACCTGGAACTCTCTTATTTGTCAGAGTAGGTGGGAGAGGAGCCGAAAACAGGGCTCTGCATGAGTCATAACCCAGAAAAAGCTCTGCTGAGAACACAGCTCACACTGCTCTGCAGCGTAGCCCAGGTGATAAGCATCAGTGTTGCTGTTGTCTCCATGTTGTCAGTCTACTATTACCAGGAATGCTAAGATACAGAATGATGAATTCAAATGGGGCTGTACGTAGGGATAGATAGAGACTTCTCCATCTCATTTTCTTATATTTGTCTTTTTCATACTACCATAAGAAAGAGGAAATGCAGCATTAAAAAAAAATAAAATACTTGTTTAGAACAAACATAGAAATATGCAAATAAAAGGTGTTACTTCTAAATCCAGGGGGTTTGACCTCAATTCTGTTCAACTGTACTTTTCATCTTGAAAAGAATCGCACAAGGTTAGACCCAGCTATGGGGCCCAGGGAGGGTTTATACATCTCTGCTGCATATCCCACTACACAAGTGGGCAGTGCCTACGCATGAGCCTCAGCGCTGTCACCCCCTGTCACAACTGGCAGATAGCCGGCAGGTCTTTCTTTTAAATATAGGACACTCCCAGTGAACTCTGTGGGACCTTCCTAGCTAAGAGCTGGGCACAGACCGAGGGAACAACAGGGTTTGAAGTTCTCACTGAAATCTGGGGTTCGAGCACATGTTCAAAGGCAGCCTCCCTGCCCATGTTAGGAGCCGGGCTGCTCGGTGCTAGGTCTGCAATAAACTTCTCACAGATGGGCCCTGGAGCAGGCACTGCTAGATGAGGACCACTTGCTGCATCCACGCTGCTCTGAATGCTGGGGATGGCAGCAAGCACTGATCCGGGTACCTCTCCTCCTCACATCCGCCTCATACAGAAGCTGAAGACCATTTGGGGCTGCTGAGGTGCTGGACATATGAGGTCCTGCGTGTCCCACAGAGGGCAAGCAAGCTCTGGCTGTGCCTGGAACTGCCCCTGTAGGCTGGATCTCTGCACGGGCACCAAATCTCACCTGCTGGGCTCCTCCGGCCCTGCAACAGACTGTGCCGACAGACTCTGAGTCGTTGCGAGAGATTCCAGTATTTGAGTAGTTTATCGATGCATCCCATGTTTATTTTATTTCTTCTTTTCCCAGCGGAGTAGAGTATGGGATACACTGGATATTGCTGTTTAGATACTGCACTGAAAAGTACAGTGTCAGTGCCTAGACAGAGCTGATTCCTACCCCATTTCTAATTGCATTCACATTCTAAACATGGCATAATCTCTTTCACATTAACATGTGTGGGAAAAAAAATCTCAGTAGCATTTTTGTTCAGATCACCTGTGATAAAGCTTCCTTTTTCTCTTTCCTCTGCCTATTGTGCTTTTCTTTAAACTTTTGCTGAACCTTCATTTTGTACCTAGTTCCTTCATGCTTTGTACTACAAGGATCCAAGGAATTATTTCTTCACAAATGGTAGCAAAAAAAAAAAAGCATGCAAAGGCTAGAAACAGACGTGCTGTAAAGATGGTTTAAAAACATACATTTTCTTCTGTGTGTATTTAACAGTTTCCATCTTTGCCATATGTTCTTTCCCTCATCAATTTGCCTTTTAGATTGTTCTTTAACACTTGCCTATTTTCTTGCTTATGCAACAGAAGGGAAGTTGATCTTTCATTTGTTCCGCAAATATTCCTTATTGTCCCAGGTTTTATTGCCCCATCTGTTATTGTGTGATCAATAGAAGTCTCTCGTGGTCTCACTTTTCCAACTGATCACACTATACCACAGGTTATATTTCAATTTAATTGCTATCTACTGTATGATGTGTAAACTAGAAAGAGAGGAGCAAAAAGATAAGGATATTTTTCCCCTGCCTACCATTTCTCTCTTTCTGTGTAAGCACATATCTTCAGCACTTGCTTGTTATCGGTGACAGAGTTTAAACTGAATCCCTCATCTCCACTCTTTTCTACACGAACCCGATGCTTCCATCTCAGTGTTTACTACTTTAAAGCACAAAAGTATATACAGAACAAGGTCACCAACACTTGAGGGAAATGGGTAGATACTGTGACACTTCATGAGCTGAAGCATCACTTCCCTGCAGCACCCTTGGCAAAACAGAAAATTCTCCCCCCCAAGCACAGTGTTTCCCTGTTCGTGGAATCATAGAATGGTTTAGGTTGGAAGGGACCTTAAAGATCATTTAGTTCCAACCCCCCTGCCATGGGCAGGGACACCTCCCACTAGACCAGGTTGCTCAAAGCCCCATCCAGCCTTGAACACCTCCAGGGATGGGGCCTCCACAACTTCTCTGGGCAACCTGTTCCAGTGTCTCACCACCCTCAAAGTGAAAAGTTTCCTCTTAATATCTAATCTAAATCTCCCCTCTTCCAGTTTGAAGCCATTACCCCTCGTCCTATCACTACATGCCCTTGTAAAAAATCCCTCTCCAGCTTTCTTGTAGGTTCCCCTCAGATACTGGAAATCTGCTCTAAGGTCTCCCCAGAGCCTTCTCTTCTCCAGGCTGGACAACCCCAACTCTCTCAGCCTGTCCTCATAGATGTGCTCCGGCCCTCTGATTGTCTTTGTGGCCCTCCTCTGGACGTGCTCCAACAGGTCCATGTCCTTATGTTGGGGACTCCAGAGCTGGATGCAATCTCCCCTGCCATCTCCCAGCTTTTTCCTACTGCTCTCAACACTTACTCTTGGTCATGCACGTTTGTGTTAACTCTGCTTGTGTATGTAGTTTTAAAATTACATTTTCCTCCCATTTTTTTTTAGGCATTTACAGACACTATCTTCTGCAAAGTACTCTTTCATCTTCCTGCACTCAGCTCTGTCTATCACAGCAAGGTGCTCAAGAAAGATAAGCTTTTAAAATTAGAGGTACAATACTGTTTCTGCAAGGGGAAGCTAACCCAGTAAGTGTGATCAAGCTGATTTGAAGAAGGTGAGTCTTTTGCAGCAGGACAAATAGATGGAAATTTCTCCTATCTGTCCAGCACTATGGGAGGGAAGACTCAGCAGTATAACTACTTATAACTATTTATAACTATTGCTTTTCATAATAATAGAGCAAAGTGGGTCATTGCCAGGGAGGAACACGGAGGCAGCTCCTGCTGTAACAAGGCTGGGGAGAGGTTGCATAAGAAGCAGTACCCCCGATTTGCCCCTGAAAATAATGACTCAAAGTATTGACGTGCATGCATGCGGCATGAATCCAGCGTCACATCCACATGTGCTGCTAATTTGGTGTTGTGATCCCTCATTTGAGCATGTACTTAAAGACCAGACTGTCTTAGAAATCAGGCCTCGGTGGACTGAGCTATTTATTGGGTGAGTCATTTATAAAAGCTAAACAGGGTCTTTAATGTGGAGCTGTGCAATGGAACGTTCTGCTTCTGGATGTGCAGGTGGGCATTAAATTTATCCCAAAAGCTTCCGATTCCACTGCTGGGAAGCAAGACATCATTTTACAAAAGCTGCCTGTGCTGAGGCTAGAAAGAATAAAAAAGGTGACGGTCTTCTGCAGGGCTGTGTGGGCAGGTTTGAGATGTGCATGGCTTTCCAGAGGGGAAGGAGGAACTGAGACAGCAAACAGGAATGAATGCAAGCAAATGCAAATATCAGTGGAAAGGAAAGCTGCTGTAAATCTATCAAGCCAAATACCTTTTTCCTCAAGATATCTGAATGAAAAACTCTCTCTAGATTTGGCTCCCCTCAAAAATATTGAGCAAAATTTATATATAAAAAAATCGCAGTGCTAAGAGCGGACAGCAGAACAAGTGCTTCTAGCTCCCTAAGCGAACTCAAATCCACAAATGGAAGGCAGTGCCAAAGTCCCACTGGAAGGTGTAAAGCCATTGGGCTCTACCTTACACATGTCCGTGGTGCGGGTGCACGGATGGGAGCTCACCCTATAGACTGGATGTCCCTCCATCAGCAGCGGGAAGACAACCCGACATTTCTCTTCGCTTCAGCCTCAGTCTCAAATAGCCGAGCAAGAGGAATTCCAGGTTGGGCGCCCACCCTGCAGCTTCAGGGGCAGATGAGCCCCTCAACATCTCGTTGCTATGGGAGCAGCAATAAGGAGGGATGACTTTGTGCCCACGCCAGGGCCCCGCCGAGCCTGGCCAGGATGCTCCACGTTGCCGGGCGGGGGGTGCCGGGGACACCATCAGTCCCTCTGCCAAAGTGATGGGGTGGGGATGGGGAGGCGGGATTTTGTCGGGAGATCCCCGCTGCCCCCTGGACCTGCCCCAGCCCCGGACCTGCCCGTGGACCACCAAGCCCCCGGGCTACCTGCCACCGTGTAAGCGGCGGACATGGGAGTGAGTATTCGCGCATCACATGGTTTTTTGAAAGCAGTGTAATCGTGGGAGAAATCTCAGTTCTCGCTCAAGCTGAGTTTCGAATCTGACCCCCGTACTCAGGGTGGCCTGAAAAAAGCTAACAGCAATAATTGCATTTCCAGCTTTGTATCTGGTATTGCACGAACACGATATTTTCCAAAACGCATCTTCTCTCAACTTATTTGAAGTGAATACACCACTCAGAATAAATATGAGCATACTGCTCTGCAAGAATTAGTAAGTCCTCCCCGTACTTCCAAGTAAATAGAAGTTTATGTTCAAGGAAAACAAAGCCAAAACCCAGTGAAAACCTCCAGACCGTCGTGTGTAAGTATACACTATACTTTGCATTTTCTTCGAGGGGTGATTCAAAAAGAAATAATAGCAACTCTAGGAGATAATGTTCACATGCTGCACCGAGCTGCCATTCCTGCAAAAATAGTTTCAGTGTTAGGTACGCAATTGCTAGCACTTTGTTACCACGCTTTAACATCATGCACAAAGATGGTTAGTTTGCAGCCTTGGAGAAGTACTTATGCACAAACCCAAAATTAATATGGAGGTCGAGGATGACACAGTTCTTTATTTGATGCTTTCCTTTTTTACATTTTGAAAATGCAAATGAGAGGATGGGCTAAAGGAGGAAAAGTTGCAGCAACAAGTCGGTAGACCTTAATTGTCTGAAGACCCTGGGTATTGTGTGGGTATGATCTAAGTGAGCTTGAGGCCTCTAGAGGGCTCTGGGGTAAAATCACAGCCACCAGGGATCCTGCCATTTCCTTTAATACAGACAGGATTTCATCCAGTGTGACTCCAGGGCAACACAGAGGCCTCCACGCAACCCAAGTGTAGAAAACTGGAGTCAGTGGGCTCACATGCACCTTTACAACTATCTGTATGGCAATCGTAGGCACAGTGTGCACAGAAGGAGGAGGGCTCTTTACTATCCTTTTATTTCTAAGATTTTAGGTCATCTCAGGCTGATGGAGTCACATAAGGTGTCGCTTGCTGGAATTAGAAAGGGTTAGTCACACCTCTGCGGGCCACACTGATGTCCTAGTATTTTCACAAGGCTTTTGAAGCAGGCTCAGCCGCGCAGCAATTGCACGGAGCCAGCTTATTGCAGCCGTGCCAGCCTCAGATGAGTCTCTAATATAAGCTGAGTTCAACCAAGGGCTATTGACCAGAGCTGGTCAGAAAAATTGCTTTCTTTTAAATTCAGGTAATGGCAGCTTTTTGGCACACGTGAGGAAATTGAAGTTTGATCTGGAAGCACTGCTGGAGCGGTTGTTGCGGGTACCTCCCATCCCTATCCTGTTTTATGGGTTGAATGACTACCTTGTTTTGGTGATGCTAATTGGGTATTACGACTGTGAAGCCTGAAGAGAGATTAAGTAGAATTAGGGCACTTGGACATGGAGGAAAGTGAGCATAAGACGCTGCTGAAGGACAACACCCATGAATTATAAAATAATTGGATTTACAACAGGCATTCAGTCTGCGAACATTGCTTTTTTCCTAATGGTTTTAGCTGAGAGGTAAACAGGCTAGAAAAACGTATTCAGGTGAAATGGAAAAAGGAAAGGAACCCCAGGCCTGAGGGGACCCCCTGCCCTGCCCCACGGCTGCAGGGAAGAGGGGTGACCTTGGCACTGTGCTACCCACCGTGTCCCCCCTACAAATGCACTCATGGGAACCAGCCTGCAGATTCCCACTGACCCAGTTCAAATCCGTCACTGTGAGAGCCCAGCCGTGCCCGTCGGGGCTGGAGCCGATCCCTGACCTTCACTCAGCGCCGCTTGGTTTTCTCTGATAGCTGGGTGAATGATTGCCAGCAGTGGTAAATGATTTACTCCACGTAAAGCAGCCTCTACTCGAGGGGCATATCCCTCGTTACGCTGCAGAGAAAAAATATTGCTATAGAGCCCCAAAGATTATGACATTATCTGATTATTCGCATAATAAATAATTAAAAGTAAGGATAGTGGTGGTGAAAAAAGTTTATGATTCCTTTTTTTTCCATGGCAAAAGAAAAATTTGGGAAAAGGGTCTAGATTTTCATAATTACTACAGAACTTGTAGTTGTGTTCCTAGTCGAAGATAACGTACTTTTGATGGAGCAGCTTGGTCCAGAATGCACAGATAGATTCAGGCATTTTTGATTGTTTAGTGGAGCAAACCTCCAGTTTATTCTGTCCCATATCAGGACATCTTTCCCTCATGATCATAGCACTACGTGTTTTTCATGTGCATATTGTTGCAGCCCTCCCCCCCGAGCTGATTCCTACCCTCTGGTGTCTGTGAAGATGCTACACAGCCTGGAGGTGAGAAAAACTACATATGCTGCTGGAGCTGCCTATTTTGCTGCGGGAGGCACTGGTTTATTAGTTTGCTGGATTTCCTCGCTACTAAATCCAAGCAACATCGGGACTGAAGGCAAGTAACTTCATGGACTGTGTTGTACCCCCTCAGCCACGCAGAATGAAATCTTTGGTACATCATTTTTTAACTTCAGCCAGGTTTCCCAGTTGTTTGAAAGGCAGATGTTCAGAAAGAAAGGGGAAGATGGCATTTCTCTCTTCACGGGGTCACTGGGAGCAGCAGGGCAGGCCATGAGAGCAGCTAGTGCCAGAGGTGGGCTTGGAGGCAGCCCTCGGTGCTTCTCGTAGTGCCCCCCTGGCCCCACAGAGTCCGGGCACTGAGGCACTCCAGATGCAGGCGCAGCTTTGGGAAACCAATTAATGCAACCGTTGAAAACGGCAGCCAGCTTTACACTCCTGTCTGAACTGCGGGAAATCTCTAATTTTTGACCTTGTAATGAAGCGAGCACTTTCCCGAGTGGCCCATTCCTATTCTGTTTCTCACAAAATGGATGAAATTTAACCTCCCTCCGCTTCCAAACGCTCTCATTTTTTGTGCTGAAGAAAATACCTTCTGCATCTCCTTCTGAGGTGATTTGAGTGCTGACAGTGAGACTGCTGGAAAATCACCTCTCAGCACTGCACAAATGAAGTTCTGCTATACTGACAAAAAGAGATGATCATGGTGCCCAGTTCTGCCCTTACTTCTCCTCTATGCAACAGTTGTGCGCTGATGAATTATGCTTGCAAATAGTTCAGGCAAAATTTATTTACTGCTCTATTTTGTTATGAATTTGGAATGAAATCTGAAGGGGATGGGTGGGAATGAGTGGGAATGGCCACCAGGAGTAAAGAAAGAAGATTATTTTGACTGTAGTGTGGTACTGATGATTCGGTAGGATTAGAGAAGGACAAAGCTGTGGTAATCAAGGCTTCAAGAATAATACAAAGGTAGATATGACTTAAATTGATATTGTAAGGAAGCAGTAGCAAGAACTGAAGAGTGGAAGAGGAGATATGAATAAAAAGTATTTGTGGGTAAAAGTATATACATGTGTGAATGTGTGTGTATATACTTAAATAGTAAATTGATACCTTGTCACAATACAACTTACTATGCAGGAATATGCAGACCATTATTTTTTCCAGATAGGTGATTTAAAGCTAGATTATATCTTAAAGGCAGCCCTTCGTTATTTTGCCAGTCAATATGCGCTTGCTAGTAAAAGCCCTTGAGACAGTTAAATGGCAAGTAGTCCCTCAACAGTATTCAAAAATGGAAATGCTTAAAAGCATCAACTTAAAAATACCCTTTTTTTCAGTTTTTAGGAAATGTTACAATAATTCCTAGCTATAGCTTTTCATTTGCACCCTTTGAAAAACCACATGCTATGCAACAAATATGCAAATAATATTTTAAAGCTACTTTTTAATAGAAATTGTATATTTTAATCATTATTGACAGAAATAATACTTCTCACAATCCCATTTTTCACTCACATTGTATTAGCGAGTACATACAAGTACATACTTTCTAGATACATACAGCATCTTTCTACATTTTTCTGGTGGGAGCTTTAAGGAAGATGTTGAGAAGGCTGACAAAACTCTATGTGGTTTGAGGTAACCTGCCTGAGATTTTTGCAGTTGCTTATGGTGATATCATCTTATTTTTCTGATTTTAGCATCACAGTCCATTCCTGAGCATTTGCCAGCAATTGGTACTCAAATGAGGTTGACCATCTCTCCTCACAAGACACCTCCCCAGAGTACCTTTTGAGGAATTGACACTGGGGCAGAGTTTGATCATGTTTGACATAGCTGTGACAAAATCCCATTTGATGCAGTCCAATAAGAACTCCTACTCCCCCTTCCCCCATGAAACCTATGTAATCCCACCTACCCGCTATTCTTCTTCAGTCCTTCAGCCCTAAAATATTTGTCTTCCTACTGACCTCTTTGCTGAGGCCTTGAAGCTCCTCCAAGAGTCAACCAAATGCATGTGAATTATGTGCCCAAAACGCATGCACCCCTAGTCCTGTGATAAGCAGGTGTCTGCTCATATGCTGAGAGTTTGCATTGGGATGATGTGATGGGATATGTGTAGATCTTATTGTCAAGCAGTATTTCTCCCATGACCCAAATTTTGGGTGTTCATTCATGCCGTGTGATGGGGAAGCCTTCATTTTGGTCATCTCGGGGGTGTATGTCCAGACATGGGATGGGGAAAGATCAAGGCATATGGGTCCTGAGTACCACTGCTGGACTGTGTCCAGTACAGCCGGGTTGGAAGCCAGAGCACAATTGCAATCAAGCACTCATTAGCTGGCCATTAGGAAACGTGCATTTGCTTAACGCTGAGCTCGATTCCAGACAAGTGATGGCTTCCTTGTCAACGAAGTCCCATTCCATCCTCGTAGAACACCTCTCTTTCTTCTCATTTGCGTTACAGTTGTCCAAAAACCGGGCAAGAAGTTGGCCATTTCAACCGCAAAGCAACTTATTACAAGCTTTTGGTACCTGAAGTGGCAAACATCGTTAGTATTGTCAATGTTGGGTAATGCCGATCTGTCCGCCAAGTGAACAGAGAGGGGATAGATGAGCTTCACCACCCAGGTGGAGGGCAGGGCTTGTGAAACCTAGCGAGAACCCAAAGTTTTTTGGTGTTGGTACATTTTTGCTGTGGTGGGGCCACCTTGGGGAAGCGGGTCCAGAGGCGGGAGGGTGGCAGCCAGCAAGGGGTTAAGCCCAAGGCCGAGCCCGGGTAGGACGAGGGATGGGG